ATTACATCTATGATCCCAATCCTGATGACCGTAGGACATCACTCGAAACCTTAGCGGCCAAACTCATTCGGCACCAATACAATCTCCGGCCACGGACACGCAACTAATTGCCCAGTATTCACTCAGACATTCGCACTAACTGCACTATCAGTCTGGTTGCACTCGCACTGAAACGCAGCTTCAGCTGCTCTCTTTATTCAGTGATTATCATTGAGCATTACCGCTCACCAAGCAACATCAGTTGCTCTCAAATATGATATGAATAATTATTTCAGAGACAATGCCAGCACGTCGGTCGACACCGCATGCAGCATCAGCTGCTCACCAAAAATATCCCAGAAATTATTTAAACTTCGCGGCCACAGCCGCTCTCAACAATAACGGTCCACGGACCCCTGCGACGACAGTCGCTCATAGAAATAGCTCTCACGGAAACAACTCCCCCAGTTTTGCGGCAACAGCCGCTCCAAGTAACAACCTCTCAGCGATCTCATCCCCGCCAGATCGCTATGGCTCCCGTCCTGCAGCATCAGCTGCTCCTCCATTCTCACAAAACCCGCGACAGCCGGTACGTAGAAACACTCGTACCCCTCGCCCTGCAGCGACAGCTGCTCAAAACGCTAAAAACAACCCAGCTAGGGTACAGTATAGTGCCCCCACTGCACTAGATCCCTACGCTCGATACACGGTCATTCAGACTACGGTTGCGCAAGCCACCGCTGTCTTGCAACCGGGCCAGTCATCGTCGATAAACCGGACTGCTCCCGCCCTATTGGCGATCACCGACAACAGCAGCTCCGATTCGGCATCCCTCTCAACGGCACCGACCCCAACTACCGGAGTTTGCAAATATTCGACGAAATCGTTGTGTCCGAATATTTTGCCGTTCGCGTTGCCGGTGCGGATCTTCCACCGCAGTTCGTATCACCCGACTTCCAGCTCTCGGCACACATCAAGGCCAGCCACGTCCGAGCCTCTGCTACAATGGCCGTCGGCACAGTGGTTTATCGTCGTCTCCTCTCTCGCCCAATCATATCTCTAGTGTACCACTGTACCCTCAACAAGATGAAAACTGGGGCTCTACGCCGGACAGTGCAGTACATCGGGCGCCATGCCGAAACACCAATGAAGGCGGATGAAAACAAGCTCCACGCCAGTCATCAGCAACCCATCCCAACTGGTGATTTCATCCGCACCAATTACCTGGACTTACCTACTGGCACCCAGGTGCAGGGTTCCTGCTTTCTCCCACCTGACTTTCCGATTCAGGATGGCTTTGAATTGATTGATGACCCTGACCCGACACCAATGCTGCAGTCTGTCGACGTTCTGGATCAGGCACTTCCTTGTTTCTTTCCTGATCCATTCCTCGGGCGCTCAATCCAGACGACATCAGTCAAGGATACCGTTCGCGCATACGAGGACCTACTCCTGGCCGCTACCAGTTACCAGCGGCATCGGACCCTAATCGCCTTATACAACACTAAATATCAGGGCACAGACTACACCTTGGAACCTGGCCGTCTCCATTTGCACATCCCGGCTCCGGAGAACGTGAAAGGCGTCAATCGGCGCCTCAGATTCTGGACGACGAACACGATCATGTACATCACGAGCCAGCCTCTCCAGGGACCCAGTGAACCCATCCAGACCGACCAACTTTACGAAGAAACTGTCCTCCACTCCAAAGGCACGATTATCGACATATCTGTCGCTGAAGACTCCAGAATGGACGTCGTCATTAGCCTTGAGGACGACGACTACCGGAAGATGGACCAAGCGACCCCAAGCCTGCAACAGTAGCTCAAAACCCTATTCATACAGCCTGACCCTCAAACACAGGTCTCGAATTCCGCCAAAAGCAGTTGCGCTACCGTGCGCTCTCCTCTGCTCTCACACGCACCATGGCTCCCAATCGGCAATCCATTTTGTACTCCCTTCTTGGCATCCCTCAACCCACTTCCTCGCCGTCCCAACCATCAAGCACCCCTCTTACGTCAGACCTCACCGAAGAGCAGGCCCCAGTACTCCAGCAACTGATGCGTGGTGCTCCCGTCATCTTCCAACAAGCACCCGCTGGCACCGGCAAGACTCACGTCATCGCGGCCTATGCAGGGAACTCCTCCGAGTCTGGAATGACAGCGACACCTACATCCTGGTCCTTTCGGCCACCACGAACAACGCTGTCATCAACATGGCTACGACAGTCCTCCGCCTCGTTCCAGACTTGCCCCTGACGCAGATGGTCTTCCTCCAGAGCTTAGTAGCGGAGAAGATCTACAACATCGTCAACGACGTGGAGCACGGCTGATGGAAGGAGCATCGTATTCCGGAGATCCTTCAAACTCTTTACGACAACCAGGCCATTCCGGAAGAAGTTGCCCTTTTTGTCAAAAAATATACGGCCATTCGTCTTCCGCACCAAGGACAGCAGGCTGATGACCGTCGCGCCTTCCGGCTAGTCCAGGATCTCCACTTTCTCCGTATCATTGTGGGCACCACCGCAATGATCCGCAATTACCTCCTCCTTACCCTACTCCCCAACTTCTCCCGACTCCAGCAGGTCTTCCTCACCAGCGACAAGCAGCAGTTACCCGCGTACCATGCCTACGTCCCCGATGAGCTGCTGCAATATGGATTCGAAGGCACCCTGGAGACGTTGCACAGACGCAAAGTCATTGCGTGTAGCTCACAAAATCATACCGCGCTCACCTATCCTCACCGAGTGTCTTTCAGTAGCCTCATACAAGGGTGAACTGCAAGCCATGGTTGCTCCGGAAGATCGTTCCTTCCTTACCGCATCCGCCTTCCCCCTTCCCGTCCAGATAGCCCCCTTGTTCTCCTCCACATTCCCGGCTGCAGCAGTATCTTTGGTGTTTCTCAGTCCAACACCATCCAAGAAAATGCTGCCGCCCTCCTCTACCAGCATCTCCGACGAGATATCTCCAGCGCCAACTTAGCTATCCTTTCCTTCTATGCCGATACCCGAGATGCGACGAAGCGGCGAATCACGAACGATTGTACGGAGATCTGCACGATCGACGGCTTTCAAGGGAAAGAGGCCGATATTGTCGTGCTCCTCACGACGCGCACCATTCGCTCAGGCGACGCTACGGACGATTTCTCGTTTTTAGCTGACCCGCAGCGAGTCACGATTGCACTGTCGCGAGCACGACATGGATTGTTCCTGATTGGCGACTTCGAACTTCTGCTGCAGTCATCAACATGGCGCTTATATATCGACAAGGTCGCAGAATATACTCCAATATTCCGGCAATCATGTATCAGTCAGCTGCAGTGTGGGTTCGAGCGATCTGGCGAAATAATCGTGGATCTATTGGGAGATGACTTATTTCCGGACTATTCCTTTGATCAGAATGAACAATGGCGACGATAATTTATTTATTGATTCTTTATCGGCTATGTAAGTAGATTGCAATGTCAGTTGCTCAGAAAAAAAAAATATATATGTATATATAGTCTTGTACAGTTCTAATCCATTAATTAATTGGAAATCATCCTCTTTTTTTGTGTCCTTTTCTTCAGCCGCAGCAAAAAAAAGCTTCAATTTAAACAGCTAAATTTTCAAATGAAAATTCCTGAAAAAAACACAACTTCAAAAAAAGAATAGGAGGATTAAATTACAGCGATAAATTTTCTGCATGTGCCTGTATATATTTGTACGCGTACACCTTGCTTGTAATTTTTGCTTGTATATAAGTGTACAGCTTTTTTATGTATGTACATAACTTTTCTATATCTGCTCGTCTTCCGTTGGTACCTGTTTACGTTCTTAGCTTGGACACCACTTCGTTTTGGTAGATCTTTCCCCCACCGCCCCCCCCCTTCCGCTCTTTCGCATCCTCCCACCTACAATCCCTCTTCTGTTTAAGACCGAGGACGGTCTTTTGGGCGGTTGGAAGGTGTAAATGGGAATGCTATTCCCATTTCGTATCAGTTCCTTATCCTACAGATCAAACATCACATGGAACTTTGAAAACAAAAAAAAAAGGAGCAGGAAAGGATTTTACGATTAGTGAGGTCACGCATATGTGATATGCTAGACCTCATAACAAAGAATATTATTGTCGCACTCGGCGCGCTTTTAAACCCATTGCGCCGAAAAACAAAAATAACAGGTTAGTCGTGCACATAGGTTATGCCGCAATTTACAACATAAAAATTATTACTATGTTTGGCATGATCACAGGCTCACAACTTGAAAGTCAGAAATAACATACCAGGGTATGTGCGGTTTTGCAGCCCCCTCGGGCTCAGCTACACCTCTCCTACTCCTACCACGCCCAAATTCTCCTTCTATATAAGCCCGGCTTTAGGAGGCAGAGCTCATTCTCCGCGTCACTCAAGCTGAGTGGCGGGGGTGAGTTTGTGGCTCCCCTGCCCTCAGCTTTCTCATCCCTTGCCCCCCCCCCCTTTTTTTATTTATTTATTTTATTTTACTTGATAAACCCCTTCCCCCTTTACTTTACTTTATCTTTGATGAGTTTACCCCCCCCCCGCACCTTCCCCTTTGGGTTTAGCGGTTAGTTAGGTGCTGGCTGTAGGAGTTAGGTCGTGCCTTAGGTGAGACGCGGTATCGGTAGGTATACGTGGGTGGAAAGATGCTGCTTAGGGTACCAGTTATTATTATAGTAAATGTGGGACATGCCCGATGAGGTTCTGATCTTGGCGTGGTCTAGTGGAGCACATAAGCTGATATATTGTAGAAGTTCTTTATGATGCTTAGTTGCATTAAATTATAAAATGAGGACGAAGGGGTACGGGAGATTATACTCAGTCAGCAGTTAGCGCATGGGTAAAAAAGAAAGTAACTCATCTGTAAAACATGGAGTTTGCTGGGGGACCCATTTCAGTTAATAAACAGACTGAAGCCCACTGCCAATAGATGGCATGTGAGCAGAATGACGTCCAAGTGAGTCGTAGTCCGAAGGCCAAGAAGAACCAGAAGATAGTCGTGGCGGCACCGTAGGTCGAGTCGACGAGATGATGAAGAAGGTCCAAAAGAAGATGATGATGAAGAAGGTCGAAGAAGATGATCCCAACTGAGGAAAAGGGGATCTTATATAGTAGGGGAGAGGGGGTGCGGTTCAGGCTGTTGTTCAACCAGATCTAACACCCTACCCAGATGTGTTCCCTGACACTGGAAATGTTTGTTCCCCCCGAACAATGGGTTACGGTATGGAAAAGAAAGGGCCAAAAGATTATTAA